AGGACAGATCTGCCTGTTCCCCCCCCCCCCAATAGCTAGCAATCCAAAACAGTCCAGTGGAGCCTGAGCGGTGGGTGTTGCCTTCTGACACCCTTCCGGTGATGTCAGGGGGTGTGGCATATGCAAATAAGCTATGCTAATGAGTTATGCTAATGAGCTCCTGCACCTCTTTTTCTACAAAATGACCCCGGTCGTTTTCTGAACAATCATCCATTTCACAAAGTACTGTTGATCTCGCAATGCAGGAATGGGGAAACAAATGGCGTACAGGTAAAGGAGTCTGTTTCCACCGGACTGGCCTGCCGGCCAAGGTGAACATACCCTCCTTCTCCCCCCTACACCAGACAAAACCACAAACGCACACACTTGCAGAGGCCCGAAGCAAACACACCACTTACTATCCAAGAGGAGGTCAGTGATATCCAGCTCCAGAGAGGGGATGATTTTGCTGAACATTTTGTACTCCTTCCCAAAACGGGGCATCTGGATGATGAAGCAGGAGGGAATCTGGGGAGAGGGAGAACGGCAGAGACGTCACCTGGCCAGCCTTCCCACTGGGCGAGATTAGAGTAGGGATGTGCATTCGGTCCGTCTGAACCGAATGCACACCCGAAAATGGCCCCTTTGGGCCCCTTTAGGGCTGCTGCGGACAGATTCAGATTCTCTGATCTGAATCGGCTTGCTGCCGAATTGCCGTCGAATTTCGGCCACAATTCGGCCCCATTTATATCCTATGGGCCATTGAAATCAATGGCGAAAACATAGGGTACATTCTGGGGGATGGAGGGGAGGGGTTTGAGGGAGAGGCTCCAAACTCGCAGGGTAGCTGCTGGAGCTTCTCCTCAAGATACCCACCAAGTTTCAAGAACATTGAACCAGAGGGTCCAAGTCTATGGGCCCCCAAACAGGTTGCCCCCATCCCCTCCATTGTTCTCTATGGTGAGAAAAAGTAACTTGATTCTGCCCGATACGGCCAAATCCGAATCAGGCCGAATTTTTTGTACTCTCCAATGGAAGAACAAGATGCATTTCTTCCTTTAGGAGGTGCTATTGTCACAAGAAAAGAAAAAGGTTTCAGTTTTGTTTTTGCATGTGGGTGGGTATTCTGTTTGTAATAATTGTTTGGATACACTATTTTTAATAGGCTAGTTGTGATGATTTCATGCCAAGTAAAAATGTCCATAATAATATTTTATGTTCCTAAAGTAACAGAATGACTTTCAATCTGGAAAGGGAAAAATAAATGCTAATGTAGCATTTTTTTTCAATTTTTCCAAAAATTTCCGTTTCCCCCTGAAAAAAACCCGGGTATTTTTCCGAGCTTCAAAATTTCCAGAAACTTTACATCTCTAGGGGGGGCATGATCTCTCTGTTGTCTGGAGATGAGTCGTAATGCTGGGACAACTTCAGGCCCCACCTGGAGGCTGGCAACCTGAGGCTAGAGAGAGGAAGGGGCGTCTTCTCCAACTCACCTCAACCAGCTTGAGGTCCGAGGAGAGGAAGGAATGTTCCACCAGCTGCTGGACGTTGGGCACCACCAGATCCTCCTGCTTGTCCATGAAGATCTGGTAGCAGAAGCACTCCTGCTCTTTCAGCTTCCCAGACCTGGAATGGCAGGAGAGTGACTCCGCTGGGGTTCTCGGGCTGCCGGGACCCCGTCACAAGAACTCCTGGGGCAGCTTCAGCCTTTACAATGGCAGCAAGGGATGTGGAAATATTCCTCCACCTCCCTCTCTTTGCATGGAGTCCCGGGACCACACGTGAAGCTGCCTTCTACCGAATCAGACCATTGGTCCATCAGCACTGAGTATTGCCTACTCAGACTGGCAGCAGCTCTCCCAGGTCTCAGGCAGAGGTCTTTCACATCACCACCTGTCTGGTCCTTTTTAACTGGAGATGCTGGGGACTGAACCTGGGACCTTCTGCATGCCAAGCAGATGCTCTGCCACTGAGCCACGGCCCCTCTTGACAGCTCTCCAGAGTCTCAGGCGGAGGTCTTTCCCATCACCTTCTGCCTGGTCCTTTTTAACTGGAGATGCCGGGGATTGAACCTGGGACCTTCTGCATGCCAAGCAGATGCTCTGCCACTGAGCCACGGCCCCTCTTGACAGCTCTCCAGAGTCTCAGGCGGAGGTCTTTCCCATCACCTTCTGCCTGGTCCTTTTTAACTGGAGATGCCGGGGATTGAACCTGGGACTTTCCGCATGCCAAGCAGAGGCTCTGCAACTGAGCCATGGCCCCTCCCCAAAGGACCGCAAGAACCAACTAGGTGACAGCCCCCACCCTGCTCAAGCATATCACTAACTCCACCACAAACAACCTTCTTGGAAAGCCAATGGAGGCCCTGTGCTTCTCGGGGCAGCTCCCACCAAAGCCTTCTCGCTCCTTCCGACAGGCAAAAAAACCCAAGCCGCTGTGAGCCAAACCAGATGTGCGCTGGGAATTCTGGGTCTGGAGCTCCAAGCACTTTTTTTAAAAAACTCAGTTCTCAGACACACGCAGCACACACCTGAGATCTGTGTGGGGTTGTGGTTGTTGTTTGCAATTGTTGGCAATCCCAGACATGGAACTCACAACACACGCTAGGCCGGGCCCTTAGTCACAAATGAAGAACTGAGCGTTATATCGTCTGCAAGCCAGCAAATGTTAGCTGGCTCTGGTGTTCCTAAAACTCCTGTTTTCTCTCTACCCAAATAAAAGCAGCCGACACTCCCCTCTACAAGCCCGTTGGGAGGGGAGGTGGCTCACAGCACTCTGGGAAGACATTAACCGGTATCGACGTCAGACTGACTGGCCTGCCCCACCCTCAATGCTACACACTGCACAGAGATCCAAAACTCAATCTGAGACATGTGAGCCCCGGAGAGCCTTGCGCTCTGCCGATAACCATCTGCTGGTTGTCCCCAGCCTGGGGGAACATGCTCTCGATTGAGGTCAGGGCCCTGTGGGACCTCTTAAGAGTTCCGTGGGGCCTGCAAAATGGAGCTGTTCACCCAGGCCTTTGGCTGAGGCAGCGGGCATCTACCAGCTGGCCTCCCAGCATGCTGCTATTAACCTTTTTGGCTCGGCTTCAGCCCGTTCCTTCTCAGCTGAAAACAGAAATTTGCTCCACTGCCCACTTTAACTGGTTTTATTGTATTAATTTAACGTCTGATATTTATTCACTGAACCGTTTTGAGGCTGCGTCGGAATCTATTGTGACCCACTCTGAGCCCACTTGGCAGGAAGGGCAGGAAATAAATCAAAATGATAAATAAATACATTTGGAGAGGTTTGGATCTTGGTGGGACAGTCGGGAATCAAGATCGCAGGGAGAAGCCCCCCCTGACTGTCCCACCAATCAAAGAAGCTTGTCTGGTAGGCACACGAGGGGGGGGGGCTTTTCAGTGCCAGCCCCACGATTATGGACCAACTTTTAATGGGCTCTTATCATTGCAATTGTGGTTTTGGTCACATTTTATTTATATTTAAGCCGCCCTGAGTTCTGCAAGGGAGAAAGGTGGCTGATAAATGTTGTAGATAAATACATTTTGTAGCAACGCATGAAGAGCGCTCATATCCACCCTTCTCCGTGCTCAAGAGAACCTTCCCACTAAAATACAAAGCAGCCGCTCCCCAAAAAGTGAATTGGGGCAAGAGGTTCGAGCACAGGTAAGAGGAGGGGTGCCAACTCGGAGCTGGGAAATTCACGAGGATTTAGGGGGCAGAGCCTGGGGATGGCGGAGTTTGGAGACCGGAACTTTCAGTCTGGGGCGAGGGATGCTCTGTGCTTCGGGGGGGGGGGCAACAGGTGGGATAGGGCCTCTAGTGTCCTGGCCCCACTGCTGGGCCTCCTGATGGCCCCTGGTGTTTCTGGCCACTGTGTGACACTGAGTGTTGGACTGGATGGGCCATTGGCTTGATCCAACATTGGTTCCTCTTATGTTCTTCTATGGAGCAGAAGTCCATCAGTGGCCGTTAGCCACAAGGTAGAGATAGGAACCCTCAGTCTGGGGCAAGGGATGCTCTGTCTTCTTGGTGCTTGGGGGGGTCAACAGTGGGAGGGCTTCTAATGTCCTGGCCCCACTGCTGGACCTCCTGATGGCCCCTGGTATTTTTGGCCACTGTGTGACACAGAGTGTTGGACTGCATGGGCCTTTGGCCTGATCCAACACTGGCGTCTCTTATGTTCTTATGAGAGGGGAGGGACCTCAGGAGGCTATAATTCCATAGAGTCCAACCTCCCAAGCTGCCTTATTTCTCTAGGGGGGGCATGATCTCTCTGTTGTCTGGAGATGAGTCGTAATGCTGGGACAACTTCAGGCCCCACCTGGAGGCTGGCAACCTGAGGCTAGAGAGAGGAAGGGGCGTCTTCTCCAACTCACCTCAACCAGCTTGAGGTCCGAGGAGAGGAAGGAATGTTCCACCAGCTGCTGGACGTTGGGCACCACCAGATCCTCCTGCTTGTCCATGAAGATCTGGTAGCAGAAGCACTCCTGCTCTTTCAGCTTCCCAGACCTGGAATGGCAGGAGAGTGACTCCGCTGGGGTTCTCGGGCTGCCGGGACCCCGTCACAAGAACTCCTGGGGCAGCTTCAGCCTTTACAATGGCAGCAAGGGAGGCGGAAATACTCCTCCACCTCCCTCTCTTTGCATCGTCTGTAGCACGGTATTTGATGATCTTTGGTATTTCCTACTTACCGTGGGTCCTATTTTGGTTTTGTGAGCTTCTCTCACCATGCAAGGCCTTAGGCCTGACACACCAGTCTCTCTTGTGAAGCAGAAACCCCCACAATGCCTTCCCAGTCCCAGAATGCAACGGCTTGCAATCAGCACTTTCGGGGGGGAGAGGAATCACTTACTGTAGCTTTAGCAGTGGCTCGATCCCAAGGATGCGATGCATAATGAGATTAAGAAACTCTTCCGGGTCTGAAAGCGCCAAGGAAACATCAGGTCAGACCCAGCACAAGGGGAATAACCTTCTGCCTTCTCCGGAGAGAAAGCCACTGCATCAGACACGGACCTTTTTTGCACAAATCAAAACAAGCCATTTGGAGCCATGGGCAAAATTAGCTCACTGGTTTAGCCCCTTCGTTATCCAAATGAATGTACATTGGGGGGGGGGGGGGGGGGACAGTTCTCTGCCACACAGCCAAGGATGCAGGGTTGATTTTTGATGCTGGGAAGGCACCACAAGGAGACTTTACCATCTCAATGTTGTGCCGTGAAATCTGAACGTAACTTGGCCGAATAAGGCCTTAGTTTTTCCCACAACACTGCAAAACTGCCGATAGTCACAGTTGGTGTGAGCAAAACGGAAGCCAGTTCTTACGACATGAGCACTCAGATCCAGGTAGGGGTCGCCGTGTTGGTCTGAAGGAGCAGAACAAAGTTCTAGTCCACTGGGCACCTTTAAGACCAACAAAGTTATATTCCTGGTAGAAGCTTTCGTGTGCACGGCACACTTCTTCGGAGCGCTTGTTTAGTCGAAAAACATTCGCTGTGCCCAACTGCCAATTTGGAACCATTGCCCATATACTAATTTAACCACAACGAAAAAGCATAACCATGGGTCATTTCCTGCAGGAGCGCACAGGAGGGGAGCTCCAGCAGTAAAGAGCCCAGGGGGCGGGCACATGCAACAAGCCCCACCCCCTGCTCCCAGCAGCCCTCAGTCAGAGCAAGAAGCAGCCAGGTGAGTTGCAGAGCTACCCCCGGCCCCCCGGTCCAAAACAGTCCAGTGGCATCTTTACAACCAAG